ATATATATATACATATATATATGTACGGACACAAAAGACTTCCAAAGAACGTCACCGCGAGGTCATTGTGCAGATTTTCTCGACGACCCGGAGGTCCAGAAGCTCCTCGACCAGATAAATGAGAGACTTGTCTGAAGTGGAAACGTAGGGGGCTTTTCCGGGGGTTTAGGGCTTTTGGGTTTAGGGTTTAGGGTCTAGGGTTTAGGTAGGGGCTTTCTCGGGGTTTTTTAACAAGTTTAGGGGTTTAGGGAAGGTTGGGGCAAGGGGCCCCGCGTGCCCTGATCGCGGCACTCCAGGGCACACACACCATGCATGTTGCATCTTGATCAGTTAAACACCCAACATCCCAGACCCCTTGCCCTCAACCCCTAAACCCATACCCATAGACTCCAAAGCGTGAAATCTAATCAAGCAGCCTCACAGTCTAATTTCTTGACCCAACTTCCTGCAGAAAGAAATTTTGGAACCTGCTGCGCTCCAGAACCGCGCGACGCTTGGAAAAGGCTTGTGGCACTTCTTGCGGGTGACAGAGCTCGAGGAAGCCGCACAGCCTGGCCGTAGACCCCAAGGCCTTATGTGTCTTTCAAATTCCAAGCCACGTAAGCCCCGGCAATGCCCAGTGTGTCGTCTGCGACGCTGAGGAAGCTTGGGATGTCCCCAGCAGCCTGCGAGCGGTTCCGCAAACTGCTGGCAGCTTGAGAACCGGCAACAAGAAACGTTGTAAGGGTGCCAGTTTTAAACTCCTTGGCTGGCGGCGAAGTCGATCCGTCATGGGATGTTTCAGGCAATGCGCAAGAAAGCAGTTGTTTTATGGGAAGGCCAGCAGTAGCAGCCCAAACCCGAAAGCTAAGCCCACGCATTCTGACAGAGCTCGCGATCCAAAGACTCCGAAAAGCACATTATTACAAAACCCTCCTCGCCAGCTCCAGCCAAGTGATCTTGGCACGTCTCTATGTCTCCAAGACTCCCTTCTGTGGGGTTTGACGAGTCTGTTGCTTTTGCTGCTCATGCTGACCTCTGAAGTCACAGCTTCGCCCGAAACCCGCCCCATCCCCCAATTACCGTAGGCCCAAACAGCCCCAAAGCAGAAAGGATACGTGCTCAGGCTCAAAATACAGCATCGAGCGAGTTTGGCGGTTGGCCCGTTTAGGGCGACCTGGCCCGGAGCAAGAAACCGGAAGAAAAGCCGAGGGGAAATGGGGCTTCCCAGTTACTGTACCGGATTCTTGCTCCGTTCTCATAAAGGGGCAGGCAAGACCAGGCTCGTAGACCTAAACAAGGCCATCACAAGCAGTGTTATTGGCTCAGCTTTTGAAGCCAGCTTTCTGAATGATCAGCAATGGTCTAGTTGGGTCTTTCGGTTCAGTGATGGAAGCTGATGGCGGAGTTGCCCATACTGCTGCAGCTTCTTTCATGTTGGAAAGCTTTCACACATGATCGGAGGCTACATACCGCAGCAGCATGTGGTTCTGGTTAACGTTCTTACTTTGACATGCTGAAAGTCGGAATGGAGCCGTGTCTGCGACCAGCCCCGAATCTATGGGGGTTCCTTGCTTCTGGAAACCCTCGTGGACAGGCGCGGTGGAGGTCTATCTCCGGCGTAACTAACTCAGATCCCCAACACGCAGCCCCCCTAAACGGCCCTAAACTTGAAAGCCTTACCCAACAAGGCTTTCGGACAGACACCACCGGGCAGACTTATGTGCTCCGAGGGTCTGGCTTCGAGCCTCTTCGGGAGCTCCGGCTCTGGGTTGTTTTTGGATTGCTAGGCTTCCCAAGCTTTGACGGATATAGCTGGGGTTGACTGGGAGTTCAGCGTCTGATACCAAGTCTAGCCGTCCAGCTCAGGGAGGATGAAACAGGTCGTATAGGGCCTGGAGACCCGGCGTGGAGGATTCGAAAGGCCCGACCTCTCGGCTGCTGCTTTTAAGATTCTGGCTTCCTGGACCGGACCTTCTGGCTTCCCTGAACTTTCGAAGGCACGACGGCATTACCCCTTGCTTGCAGAATTTATACTTCAGAGCCAACTTCCCAATGATCCACGAAAACCAGAATCGCCTGCTCCAGCAGAGCTTGCGAAGACGATCTCGCTTGGGGGTCAAGGGAAGACTGCTGCAAGCTTCAATGCCTGAATAATGTTTCTGGGTTTAGTTGGTCGGGTGAGTCTAGTTCATTGATTAGATCGACAGCACATACAGACACGCTCATTATATATATATATATATATATGTAGTCATGTATGAATGTATGTATGTATGTATGTATGTAAGTAGGTAGGCAGGAAGGCAGGGAGGTAGGTAGGTAGGTAGGCAGGCAGACAGGCAGGTAG